TAAGCTCTAAGTGGAGACCGAGGCCACCCCAAATATTCAAGTCCCAAAATGTGGTCTCGAATTGGAGGGTATAATTAAAATACAAAAGTTTTACTAGTACTGTAATAATAATGATGATGATGATAATGTTTGTGTAAATATTAATGTTTTGTTTGATTGCAGGATAAAAGTCTATTCTTTAATAAAGTGTCCACATTTCTCTCCTCTGCTCTCCTCAATGTAGGGTTCATAAATCCTTTTACTTCGTCCACCCATCTTTCTGAGTATCTATTCTTACCTGGTTTTTGAATGCATATGGAGTTGTAAATGATAATACATCTATTTGATTGATTGATCGATTGAATATAAACAATTAAATACAACCCACCTCATTATAATCTTCAAATGCATCAGTTACGATATTTAATTTTTCACTTGAAAATGCACAAAAATATAAATACAATGATATGAAGTGTATCTTTTTTTATTACTGTATTATTATATAACAGTATCATAACATGCTTCCTAGGCATTTGGTACTCAACAGATACAAATATATTTTTACTGAATCCGAGTATATTAGCCTAACATTAGCATAACATTACCATACTATATCTGCATTATTTAATAATGTTCAATACAATTGCACAACTCTAAACCAATAAAGCTTCAATGTAGCTTTAATTACAGATGTACACATAATTAGGTTTCATGCAGTCCAATATCTGGGTTCTAATTGGTCAATTATTGATAACACATTGTCAAAACCGGGCACTGTAACAAGGTATTTCAAAACTTTTGAAACCTCCCACCCAAATAAAATCTAAAAAATTGCCATTTTAATAAAACATTTTTCTATTTACACACAAATCTCAGATTAATATTTTCTAATTAAGAGGATATGTATAGTTGCCTCACTGAAAACTACCTCATATAAATTTTGCACAATTAATGCTTATAATAAATATTCTAAAATACTTCTGCAACAATATGATGCTGAATATTACATACAAGTTACATTGTAGATTTAGGTACAAGTATATTTCATATATGTGGAGGAGTAATGATGAATTAAAGGCCTAACAAAAGGTGAAGAGTTTAAGTATGAAATGGTTAATAAGCTTGATTCATAATCTCAACTTATTTTGGTAAGGTACTCCCTTTTGAATGACTGCTGTCTTGTGTACACCTTCCTTTTTACCTTGACAAAATATGATTGGTTATACATGCAGCTTAAGGACTGTAGCAGCAGTGGTGGCATCAAGACTTGCCCAACAGGGTGGAGTTTAAGCAGCCTGTCAGGAAGGTCTGAAAATTTCTGTGGTGTCGGGCCCAGCCTCCTGGCTTCCAGAAAAACCGGCAATTTTGAGCTATTTTAAGCTATTCCGAGATATTTTAGCACATATTATGCTCCATATAAAATGGGTTTCCTTCCAAATGAATGATTTTAGGACTTTCGTCCTCACAGGACTGTTCCATGTGTTTCATAACAGGATCATTCAAGATAAAAACACTAATTCAAAAACCTGATCACAGAACTATACCTGATCTATATATAATCACACAGCCATTCCAGGTCAGGATCATTTTAGTTGGTCACATGACCTGGCTTGTGACTACATAGCACATCTAGCTTTATCATGCTTGTATTTCTCTACTAGAACATTTCAAAAAGCATTTATTTTTGACAGACATAAAATGCCATTATGACCACTCCAGATCTGTGATTACTTTCTTCGCCTTCTCTGCTGCTTTGTTGCAGAAGTATCCATACCCCTTCTTGTTGCCTAGTGACAGCAGGTATCGTGCATACTCAATGTATATCTTTTCCAGAAGACTTCGTAGATACAATTAATGTTAAAGAAACTAAACCTGAATTTTCACTGTATTAAAGATATATTGTTACTACTGAAATTTAAATTTATACATACAGTATATATATTAAATTTATAACTATTTTAATTTATTCATTGGTCATTTCTAATTACATCATCCTAACATTACCATAGGGATAAAGAGCACAGAAGAAAATGATTTGGACAGTCTGCCAACTGTGCTACCTGGCAATAGTTTTTCGAAGTTGTAGTATTTAGTTTGCTCAATTTTCATATTATCTCATGTGAAGTCATGGATAGCCCTATATCCCAAACTTTAAATAAATCATGGTAATTATTATTATAAGAAAAGGATATTGATTATCTTGTTTTCAGGGAGAACATCGAACTCAGCGCATGCCTCAGCTAACATGGCTGCTCTGTCATAGTAGTGAAGGCTGCATTAAAACCAACATATGTTAAAATTAATCCATAAAATATAATTCACTTCTCTTTTTTAACTATTCTCTCCATTCACAGCTTTCTTCCTCTGCTCTCTATTCCTTGCTTTCACTTTCACCTTTATTTTATTTACTTACATACATTCAACATTTTCAGTTATAAACTAATCCTTCCCCTCATCCCAAATTCTTACCCATACTTACCTCATAAGCATCTCCAGCACCCTTTGAAATTGTCCCATTGAAAGCAGAACCAAGATGGCCATTGATTTCTGGTTGACATTCGGAGTACAAAGGAAGTCAACCCAGCGTTTAAGCACTTCACAACACTCTGCATAGCTCAGGGTCGCCTACAAGAAAGCAATAGTAAAATCATTGCTAACATACTGTAGTAACGGAAAGTTATAGCACATGTATTGATCTACATGAGGCAACCTGCAACACAGTCAATTAGAGGATGGTGAGCCTATTTAAGGCCTACTAGAATGAATGATTAAAACGTGAGCCTACAATTTAAATATGAGAAAGCCACATTATAAGCTCTTACAACCAATTGACATATAATGTTATAAGTGTCCCATGCAAGGAAAATTTACCACTATGTACTTTGTAAACATGCATCTGTGTAATATTCGCCTATGGGCTATGGGCTATTGGTCTTGTTTGAGGTAACTGAATTAAATAGTTTCCCTCTGATTATCTACAGCCTACAGTCCACTGGTCTTTATCCTCCTTGCCTTGAGGGCAATGCTGGTGGAAGTAAATGCTTCAGGCAGGGTCACCTAAGCCAGAGAGTTCAATTGGTGAGGACATGAAGACATGACCACTAGACAAAGGTTCCTGGACAGTCTCCCAATGACCAAACTGTCTGTACCAGTCCATGTCAAGGTCAGCTTTCTGGTCCCAACTTTTAATCACGACCAGATGTGGTTGGATTGCTGGAGATGACTTGTGTCTTTTGACTCCATTCTCTGGTATTCACAGTTGCAAGACATGAGTAGGGAATAGGAAAGCCTACTTAAAGGGATGGGTTAGCACCCCTAGTCCAGCGTACTTTAAACAGAATACAGACACGAAGGATAATAATAAAGCATCTCAGAGTGAAGGGAATTTACCAGGATTTTTACATGTCCCATGTAATAACTATGTACTGTAAGAAAAACAGACATTACAGAGGCAGGTAACTCTCCCAAGATATTTAGCAATTATATGTACACATGGTAACAGGGTGCAGCTTACTGTCTACATATAAATTATTCTAACTTTTGGCCAGGTTTATATTCACTTGTGGTGTGAATATTCGTCTTGTGTGAAGGTTGGAACATCTTGGTGAGATTTTAGGGCTCTGTTTACACTATCAAATTTTCTTGGACAAAAAAACTATTGTATGCCCATATAATAGTCATAATGTGCCTATATATGGTATTGATGTGC